AATATCCATTGGGTACATAGGAACAAATAATACTTTCTTTCCAACTAATTTTAAAGTAAGTTTTTCTGTAAGTCATCGAATAGAAGGTTCCACAATAATGGCAGGGGGTGCGAGAAAACAATCTGACTTTTAGTTATCTTTAAATTATTTGTGATTTTCAAAAAAATTTTTAAATAATGGTTTTTAAATACCTATCAATAATGGTTATCCATCTCACTGTAACGTAACAAATAATAATGCAGATTATAAGGTTCACTGAGCCAGACTAGTGCATTACGCCATTGTAGAGCATAAAGTACTAAGCGGCCGAAGGGCGCAGTTGTAGTATATTTGTGCCCGAGTCACATATATTTTTTTTTACTTGCCAAGGGCATGAAGTGAAATTTTGCATGCATGGACACACTTTGCACCCGGTAAATCGCTTTGGGCCCTAGTTTCTTTCTATCCGTAGGGCCAAAGTGATTAGTAGGACGCAAAGCAACAAATGGAGTATGGCGCTTCTTGGTGAACACTATTTTTCCTACCAAGGGCACACTCGACCCTCAAAAACGCCTAAGGTCGGAAATAGTAGTTTTCGCCCATAGGCGCAAAGGATTAAAAGGACCCAAGGTCTTGTGCTTCTATAGTAATGAAAAGGTCGTTCGCTTTGGGTGCATACATTGCATTTCATTATTTTACATTCTGAATGATACACACATTTACAGTGTAAGACAACAAATTATACACTCTAAACGCATGGAAAGTAACCGAAAAAAAAGACTCTAGATAATTATAGAATCTACATAGTAAAATACCAAACTACTCCCAAAGGTGTATAAAGGTCATTGTTATAATTAATCAATGCCCGATCTTACCGCTAATTAAAATATAGTCTAAAGGAATGAGTGCTCCGATATATTTCGCCATTTTTCGTGGTCTGTACAAGTAGTTATTATCTGCCATTTTACTGCCAGGTTTTGCAATACATATTTTACCAATACGTGTCCGTATACATTTGGTACCAACAGTGGTAATTATTCCGAAACAGTATATCTTACACTAAGAGAAAAGTATAGTAAAAATTACTGTGCTAGAATGGCAATCTAGTACTGTTCGATCGTCTAAAGACTTTTTACTAATAGATCAATAATTTTTAGTGTTTAGAACAGTAATTTTTGTTGTAAGTGTAGTGATTTTTACTGTTTGTACAATAGAAATTACTGTCCGGAATGGTAAAAATTAGGTTGGTCAAAGTAAAAAGTCTCTAGACGGTCGAACAGTACCAGATTACCATTCTAGCACAGTAATTTTTATTATACTTTTCTCTCAGTGTACCAAAATTCCGGCACCATGTATATAGGTAATATATACGCTTAAATCTGCGCATATTTAACTTTTCCGCGTGGGCGTACAGCGAAAAGATTTCGATCGCGTGCCTGCAACCGGTTTTTCTCAAACCCTCTTTTCCCTTCACTTAGAGTACGAAGTTTGTGAGTGCAATTAAGAACTACCGACAAAAATTAACTGAAAAGTCGCGACGTTTGAGAATCACTTACGTTTTTTTTCTTTTCTCTCGCAGCATCTTGGGTTTTGATTGAGTTGCTACCATTTCTCGAATAGTATGGTAGAGTTAGCTAAAAATCATATCGATATCCCGAAAATTCTGACTAGCTCAAAAAAATTGGGTAGTAGTTTCAATGAATGGTAATATATTGACACATAATTCAACAAGTATACCGTCGGCTCGGGAAAGAAAACGCTATCTCAGATTAAAAAAAAAAAAATTATTTTGAACTCGTTAGAAAGATATTTTAGACATTACGTTTTGTTGGTTCTTCGTTTTGGTTGTTTTTCACCCAGAAAACAAAAAAAACGGCTGAAAGAACATTTGTGTCTTTACAATTTTTCTACCTCGAACAGAACAACAAAGTGTCAATATCAGAACGAAAAAGTCTTGACTGTGTTTACGTTATGACGATGATTAATAAATAATAATAACAAGGAAATTCGCGTTTCAATAATAGAACGTACAATCGAACGAAACGAGTATGGATACGTTGTGTCAACAGAGTGCACATTATTTTGTGTTATTACAACGTGATAAAGCACTATTATTAAAGTTGGAGTCAAACAAAACGAATCAACCATCACTTCCGTAATGCAATAGAGTTGATATTTTGCGTAGACAGTTTTACTTGCCTATACCTATTACATACGAGTAAATGTGTACCTATGCAAACATAGGTTTATTGACACACATGCACCAAGTTAACGTCCAAAAAAATCCATCCCTTCAAGTTTGGCTGGCCATATTTTCACTGCGTGGCTACACCGCTGAATGTACATACTTATATGTAGCGTCTCAGCCCAGCCCGCCGACGACATGCCATCGTCGCAAGCAAGCGCTGGTGCCGAGGGAGGACTTTGACTAGTCAGTCAAGCTCTTTCTCTCTCTCACGCGCTGGCGTACGGGTCCTACGGGAAGCGATGCCGCGCTTGATCACCGTGGTATTCGCTCCGTGCATGACACGCAGCGCCACCCTCGGTATCAGAAGCGCGCAATACCGTACCCCCGTATGATTAAATCGTAACACTGTCGCTTATAGAAGAAAGTATTATTAATTGAATAAGACGTACATACTGCTATCGCGTAAACATCAGCACCCTAAAAAATGGATATAATTATCCAAACAGACTTTAAAAGTATAAGTTGCAACATAGTTTTTAATAATGAAACGCTGAAAAAAGCTAAAAAATTAGTAGAGAGTGGGCACGTTGCCTACGTACAGGAATATGTAAATAAAGGAGTCGGTCATCTGATCAATTGCTATGTTGTGAGACAAACATCTGTCAGCTTAAATCCATACAAAGTAGAATTATCTGTAAGTACATTATTGCCTATGCTTGACAAATGTAGGTTATGGTAACATATACATAAATGTGTAATTTATTTATCAGATTAACGAAGACCGCTGTATCTCCGACGTATGGGGTCTACTTGGGAATTTATACAGCACCACCCCCTGCTTTTCTTTCTTGTTGCAATTAACAACGCAGCACTGTCTCGTACGCATTTCGTTACTTTGTAAACGTAAACACTGATTCAGATTAT